TTGGCCGTGCTAAATTGTCCCATAGTGCCCAGGGATGTGCAGGTTAGGGGGATGGGTCTGGGTGGGACGCTCTGAGGGTCGACGTGAACTTGTTGGGCCAAAGGGCCTGTTTCCACACTGTAGGGATTCTGTGATCTAATAATCCTGGTTCTACAAGAACCCCGCTCCCCCCCATCCCCAATTTTCCAAACTCTAGCGAATATAATTGTAGCTACAGGGAAGGTGATGGCCGAGTGGTAAGATTGCTAGTCTATTAATCCAGAGACTCAGCTAAGGCTCTGGTTTCAAAACTGGCAGAACATGGAAATTGAATTCAGTACGGGAAATATCTGGAATTAAAATGACAAATGATGACCATGAATCCATTGTTGATTGCCAGGGGGAGAAACCAAGATGGCAGCTCACCATCACCTTCTCAAGGGGCTAGACTGTTATCCCACTGACCCCCAGGTAATGTTCTGGGGGAACCCGCGATTGATTCCCATCACAGCAGATGGCGGAATTTGAATCCAATTAAAATCTGGGAAGAATGAAGCCACGAATCCGATGTCGATTGTGGGGGGAGAAACCCACCTGGTTCACCAATGTCTTTTAGGGAGGGATATCTGCCGCCCTTACCTGGTCTGGGCCTACATGTGACTCCAGACCCACGGCAATGTGGTTGACTCTCAACTGCCCTCTGGGCAATTAGGGATGTGGGCATTGCTGGCCTGGTCCAGCATTTATTGCAATGAATGGGGCAATTCCTGGGATGGGGCAATAAATGCTGGGCCTGGCCAGCGATGCCCACATCCCAGGAATGAATAAAAATTACCTTACGCTGCACGCGCTTCAGGCAAATGGCTATGTTTCTGAGTCAAACTGGAATAGTACTCACTGAGTGTAAACTCTTCACCTGGGGTAGTGCCAGCAGAGTAGGTCATGGGCAGTGTGTACCATCAGCACAGGAGCTTGGGTGCAGTCTATCTCCTGCTCGAGGTATGGATGGTTGGGAGCTGAATGTTGGACACTCCACCATGCATCTGAGATAATAAGGTGTGGAGCTGGATGAACACAGCAGGCCAAGCAGCATCAGAGGAGCAGGAAGGCTGACGTTTCGGGCCTAGACCCTTCTCCAGAAATGGGGGAGGGGAAGGGGCATCTGAAATAAATAGGGAGAGAGGGGGAGGCGGATAGAAGATGGATAGAGGAGAAGATAGGTGGAGAGGAGACAGACCGGTCAAAGAGGCGGGGATGGAGCCAGTAAAGGTGAGTGTAGGTGGGGAGTTAGGGAGGAGATAGGTCAGTCCAGGGAGGACGGACAGGTCAAGGGGGCGGGATGAGGTTAGTAGGTAGGAGATGGAGGTGCGGCTTGAGGTGGGAGGAGGGGATAGATGGGAGGAAGAACAGGTTAGGGAGGCAGGGACGAGCTGGACTGGTTTTGGGATGCAGTTGGGGGAGGGGAGATTTTGAAGCTTGTGAAGTCCACATTGATACCATTGGGCTGCAGGGTTCCCAAGCGGAATATGAGTTGCTGTTCCTGCAACCTTCGGGTGGCATCGTTGTGGCACTGCAGGAGGCCCAGGATGGACATGTCGTCTGCGGAATGGGAGGGGGAGTTGAAATGGTTCGCGACTGGGAGGTGCAGTTGTTTATTGCGAACTGAGCGTAGGTGTTCTGCAAAGCGGTCCCCGAGCCTCCGCTTGGTTTCCCCGATGTAGAGGAGGCCACACCGGGTACAGCGGATAAGCAGATAAGGGTGGGGAGGGAAAAATGTCTTTGGTAATGGGGTCAGATCAATCTGACTCCCTCAGCAGCTCCACACTCTCCTCCAGCCCCACCACACCTGGCAGTTTTCCCTGCAACCGCAGGAAGTGCTACATCTGCCCCTACACATCCCCCCTCACCCCCATCCCAGGCCCCAAGAAGACTTTCCACATCAAGCAGATGTTCACCTGCACATCTGCCAATGTGGTATACTGCATCCGCTGTTCCCGTTGTGGCCTCCTCTACATCGGGGAAACCAAGCGGAGGCTCGGGGACCGCTTTGCAGAACACCTACGCTCGGTTCACAATAAACAACTGCACCTCCCAGTCGCGAACCATTTCAACTCCCCCTCCCATTCCGCAGACAACATGTCCATCCTGGGCCTCCTGCAGTGCCACAACGATGCCACCCGAAGGTTGCAGGGACAGCAACTCATATTCCGCTTGGGAACCCTGCAGCCCAATGGTATCAATGTGGACTTCACAAGCTTCAAAATCTCCCCTCCTCCTACCGCATCCCAAAACCAACCCAGCTCGTCCCTGCCTCCCTAACCTGTCCTTCCTCCCACCTATCCCCTCCTCCCACCTCAAGCCGCACCCCCATCTCCTACCTACTAACGTCATCTTGCCCCCTTGACCTGTCCATCCTCCCTGGACTGACCTATCTCCTCCCTAACTCCCCACCTACACACATCTTTACTGGCTCCATCCCCGCCTCTTTGACCGGTCTGTCTCCTCTCCACCTATCTTCTCCTCTATCCATCTTCTATCCGCCTCCCGCTCTCTCCCTATTTATTTCAGAACCCCCTTTCCCTCTCCTATTTCTGATGAAGGGTCGAGGCCCGAAACGTCAGCCTTCCTGCTCCTCTGATGCTGCTTGGCCTTGCTGTGTTCATCCAGCTCTACACCTTGTTATCTCAGATTCTCCAGCATCTGCAATTCCTACTATCTCCACCATGCATCTAGGCTCTTTCTGCCCTGTTGTGGGGTATTTCCTCCTGGAGTGAGTGAGGTAAAAGTGGTTGGCCCAGCAGGTACAGAGTCTGTTTCGCTCACTTGGCTGGACTGCGATGATGTCAACAGTGTGGGTTCAAATCCCGCGCCAGCTGAGGGTACCATTAAGGACTGTCCTTCTCAAACCTCTCCCCTCGCCTGAAGAGTGGTGACCCTCAGGTTAAACTGCCAATATTCATCTCTCTCTGACGAGAGAGCAGTCTGATGGTCTGGTCAGGTTATGGCAACTTTACCTTTTGATTGCAGAGCTGGGGAAGTTGGCGAGGAATCCCAAGTTTTCTTTCATTCACTCATGGGGCGCAGGCATTTCTGACCGGCCAGTATTTTATTGCCTGTCTGTAGTTGTCCCCTTGAGAAGGTGGTGGTGAGCTGCCTTCTTGAACCGCTTCAGTCGGTGTGCTGTAGGTAGACCCACAATGTCCCTTAGGGAGGAAATTCCAGGATTCTGACCCGGCGACACTGAAGGAACGGCCGATATATTTCCCAGTCGGGATGGGGAGTGGCTCGGAGGGGAACTTGCAGGGGGTGGTGTTCCCAAGTATCTGCTGCCCCTGTCCTTCGAGATGGAAGTGGTGGTGGGTTTGGAAGGTGCTGTCTAAGGAGCCTCGGTGAGTCGCTGCAGTGTGTCTTGTAGATGGTACACACTGCTGCGACTGAGCGTCGGTGGGTGGAGGGAGTGGGATGTTTGTGAATGTGGTGCCAATCGAAGCGGGGGCTGCTTTGTCCTGGATGGTGTCGAGCTTCTTGAGTGTTGTTGGGGCTGCCCCCATCCAGGGGCAAGTGGGGAGTATTCCCTCACACTCCTGACTTGTGCCTTGTCGATGGTGGGACAGGCTTTGGGGAGGAGTCAGGAGGGGAGTTACTTGCTGCAATATTCCCAGCCCTTGACCTGCTCTTGTAGCCGCTGTGTTTATGTGGTGAGTCCAGTTGAGTTTCTAATTAATGGTACCCCCAGGATGTTGACAGTGGGGGATTTAGCGATGGTAACGCCATTGAATGTCAAGGGGGCGATGGTTAGATTTAGTGATGGTAACACCATTAAATGTCAAGGGGCAGTGTATGGATTGTCTCTTATTGGTGATGGTCATAGCCTGGCATTTGCATAGCGTGAATATTACTTCAAGTCCACATGCCAATATTCCTTCTGTTTTGAACAGGGTGTCAATATTCACAGTGTCAGTGTGTGTCAAAATAGCTTGTAGACATTTGTCTACGTGTCAACATTCCCAGTATTCTTGGAAGGATTTTGGTTGTTGTGTAAGGGTTTCAGGACATTGGAAAAAGTGTTATGATGTGATGGGGCTGTACATCACTGGGTATAAATAGTACAGGGTGGGTGGAGCTGAACAGAATGAGAGAGCAGATGGTCATAAACAGGGGCAGAAGACAGAATAGTCCATCAATAATGTACTTACAAGAGGATATCCTGGAAATCTGATTCCCAACTACAGCTGTACTTGGTATGAATCAATAATTACTACGGTTATTAAGAAATTGGATGCAGAATAACATGGTAAACTTTGCCTTCACCTCAACTATACTGTCTCAAGCCGAGACTCATAACGTGGCAGAAAAAATCACACCATAAATGATTGATATTCACACACGCACAACCCTGTAAGAATTCACCAGGCAGTCCCTGTTTGAGAGCATTGAGATTCAGGGGATGTTCTCCAGGGAGTGTGTCGTTCTCCGTAATCCTAAGACTCCCTCACATGGCTAAGATGTGAATCTACTGCCCTTAAGCAAACTTTTCCTGCCTTCATCCCAGGCCAGCAGAATTGCCTAACACCACTTCATGCAAAGTTTAACATTGGGCCCACACTCTGAAAGAGTGTTTGCTCCGCTTTGTAAATAACCCATTCACTCCATTGGTTGCTTTGAGCTGAATTATGTCATCGTGAGGTTGTCACCTGATGTTTGTCCCGTGATGAGGAAGTATAAAGAGTAACAGTTTGAACTTGAGCTTCAGGAGTGTGACAACATCGGAGCTGTTCGAACGACGAGTGAGTGTGAGGGGCATTAGGCGGCCCCTTTCGAAAAGTTTCCACATTTTACAGCAGGTTACCTTCAGTCAGTGTGGGGCTATTGTCACAATTACTGTCAATTTGATTTATTTAAAGGGAGCTTCATTTGAAAGGGCTTTACTTTTCCTTTGGGAGGCACTGAGCCTTTCCACAGCCAAGTTGCCTTTGATTTTTCCCAAAAGTGTTTGAGAGGAGTGTTTAGAAAATGTAACTCCTGTTCAGATGAGGACAGGGGTGAGCGAAAGCCTGGTCGAAGAGGTAGGTGTGAGGAGCAGAGAGATTTATAAAGAGGGTGGGGAGGGGGATTGTTGGTTCCTGACGCTGGAGCTGGAAAGGGCTGAGGTTGGGACGGTAGAATTGGGGAAAGTGGGAAAGAAAAGGATCGGAACTGGAGGGACAGAGAGGATCTGGGGAAGGGCGAAGCTGGGGGAGGATGCAGAGATGGGGAGGAGGCCAACTCACGGGGTGGGGAGGGGAGACTTGAAAACCAAGGGGAGTATTTTAAATTGCTGTCAGATGGAGGGGGGAGCCATGAAGGTCAGAGGGAAGGGCATTGGCTGGAAACGCAAGACAGCGCGGTGGGGTTCTGAAGGTGCTGCAGATCACAGGCTGGCCGGGCCGTAAAGCAACGGAACAGTCGGGTGAGCAAAAAGGATGGACTGAGGCTTGGGAGGAACCAAGGAAAGCACATGCTCAGTGCAGACAACATGTAGCCTCCCTCTGTTGCTGTAGCTGAGATCAGCGAACTCTCAACAAGGAGCTGAAGTTCACTTCTTTTTGTGAGAACTGGGTAGTATTTCCGAACAACGAGACCTTGGGGTGAAGGTGCATATTTCCTTGAAAGTGCGGTTGCAGGTAGACAGGGTAGTGAAGAAGACATTGGTTACGGTTGCCTTTATTGGTCAGTGTAGGAGTTAGGAGGACATGCTGCAGATGTACAAGACATTGGTTCAGCCGCTTTTGGAATACTGCGTTCAGTTCTGGTCTCCCTGCTATAGAAAGGATGTTGTTAAATTTGAAAGGGTTCAGAAAAGATTTACAGGGATGTTGCCAGGGTTGGAGGGTTTGAGCTATAGGGAGAGCCTGAATAGGGTGGGGCTGTTTTCCCTGGAGTGTTGGGGGCTGAGGGGTGACCTTATAGAGGTTTATAAAATCATGAGGGGCATGGATAGGGCGAATAACCAAGGTCTTTTCCCCAGGGTGGGGGGGAGTACAAAACTAGAGAGGCATAGGTTTAAGGTGAGAGGGGAAAGATTTAAAAGGGACCTGAGGGGAAACTTTTTCACACAGAGGGTGGTGCGTGTATGGAACGAGCTGCCAGAGGAAGTGGTGGAGGCTGGTACAATGATAACATTTAAAAGGCACCTGGATGGGGACACGAATAGGAAGGGTTTAGAGGGATATGGGCCAAGTGCTGGCAAATGGAACCAGATTAATTTAGAATATCTGGTCAGTATAGACGAGTTGGAACGGGTCTGTGCTGTACATCTGTGTCTCCATCAATCGCCTCTGATAATGACATGGTAAAGCTCCTCTGGGGAGAAAGGTGCTATACAAATCTTGCTGTTGTTGTTGTTGCGCTGTCTTCTAAGAGCTCCCAGCAGCTGGCAAAAGGTCAGCGCTTGTTTGAGATTTTGGAAATTCCCCGTCTGCAAGCAGATGTGTAACCCAAGCCCTTACCTGAGCCATTGAGTGAAATAGCAGCACCAACCCCTGAACATGTGTGTACCAGCACCTCCCCCCACCCCCCGCCGACCCCGACCCTGGGGCAGAATTCTGTCCTTCCAGACAACGGTCACTGCAGGTGCCAAAATAATTCCAGCCTTTCTCTTCAAATAATTCCCACGGGATCTTTAATATCGATCTGCCTGAGCCTGTCGATTGGTTCGGGATTCTGGTTAGAAAAGGGAGCCAGTACTGATTGGGCCTCAGTGTTTTAATGGTGGCACTGCAGGGTCTAAAGCCAAGGTCATGGGGTAAGTGGCACTACCTGAGCCTGTGGATATTTCTGTGATTGGGCCTCAATGGTTTAATTGTCTCTTTCAGCCAGTACTGTAGGATACATTTCTGTGGTTTAACTCCTCTGGGGTTTAGGTTCCCCAGTTCATTTACCACTTCCCCACACTCCATCTTCGGTATCTATTCACTCCTTCCACCAGTACCTCACACCCTCTTAAAGGGGCCATCCATGGTACAGCGAGCTATTCGACTGCGGGTGCTTGCACTTTGCAGTTGGGGATTGGTGGAGAAGGCCAATCAACTCAGCCTCGTTCTCCCCGTCTCTGGTTTTACCGAGGCCTGTTCTGGCACCTTCCATCAGCCGCGAGAGCGACCCAATTCTGGGGGCAGACGTGGGCCTCGAAGCCTGGGCTACGGTTTCTCATCGACTGAGCCCTTGTCTCCAGAGCCACAGGGATGGCGTTGGAGCGTGGATGCCTCAGGAGGCGATGGAGTCAGTCTCAAACAGATAGAGAAAAACCGATAAGGACTGGTTTTGTGTTTTGCCTTTGTGTGCCCGCAGGGTTTGGAATTCTGACAGCGGGAGGTGACCCGGACAAGATGGTGGCCGTCCTGTTCATCTGCTCCTTGTTCTTCCTGGGTGCTTTAGGAAGTCAACCGAAACGTTGCAGTGAGTACGCTTTATGCCTCACTCTGTCTGGACGCGAGGAAATAGGACAGAGTTTGTCTCACTTGTAAATTGGACCTTTGTCATAATACGGTGGGCTCCACATGTTAGAGCTGAGCTTCCCGAAGTCAGGCCAGGACCCCAATCGTTGTCAAAAATTGGAGTTAAAGATCTGAAGTACCGTTGGGGACTGTAGAGTTCAACCTTACATCTCTCTTCTCCAGGGCCCCCCATTGCATCTGGCCTGTCACATACCACAATGGCATACTGGGTGCATGTCTCTTTGCTCAGTTCTATTCACTAAAGTTCTCCTTAGTGTGCATCTGGTTGCTGACAATCGCAACAGTGTGGATGGAGGCCCACTGAACGCCTGAAGAGTGTCCCAACCAGACCCACCTTATCCCTGTAACCCTGCGTTTCTCATGGCTAACCCACCCACCCTGCACAATTTCCTGCGGCCACCCTACCCTAGCCCACACATCTTTGGATAGTGTGGGAGGAGACCAGAGCGCCCGGTGGAAATCCCCACGCAGGCGCAAGAGGAGAACATGCAGACTCCACACGCACAGTTGTCCCAGGTCCCTGGTGCTGTGAGGCAGAGATGCTAACCGCTGAACCATGTTTGCCAAAATAGATCATAGAATCCCCACAGCGTGGAAACAGGTCCTACAGCCCAACAAGACCACACTAACCCACAGAGTGTCCCACCCAGACCCATCCCCCTATAGCCCACCCTAACCTGCACATCCCTGGACACTATGGGACAATTTATCACGGCCAATCCACCCTAACCTGCACATCCCTGGGCACTATGGGACAATTTAGCACGGCCAATCCACCCTAACCTACACATCCCTGGGCACTATGGGGCAATTTAGCACGGCCAATCCACCCTAACCTGCACATCCCTGGGCACTATGGGACAATTTAGCACGGCCAATCCACCCTAACCTGCACATCCCTAGGCACTATGGGGCAATTTAGCACGGCCAATCCACCCTAACCTGCACGCCTTTGGACTGTGGGAGGAAACCGGAGCACCCGGAGGAAGCCCACGCAGACACGGGGAGAATGTACAAACTCCACACAAACAGACGCCCGAGGGTGGGATCGACCTCGGCTCCCTGGCACAGTGAGGCAGCAGCGCTAACCACTGAGCCACCGTGCCGCCCTGTACTTTATTCATTCTTGTCAACTCTTGCTACCCACCACCCTGTGCATTGTCAATGACACTCGCCAATGCTTGAATAGCACATCACCAGTCTCATCGAGTCATAAACATCTGCAGGTCTGCCAAAAGGCCTTTTGGCCCATCGTGTCTGTGCTGATCAAAGACAAACACCTAACCATTCGAATCCCATTTTCCAGCACTTGACCCATAGCCTTGGCATCACAAGTACAAATCTAAATACTTATAGAATTTTCAAATTTTGCAGAACAGAGGGAAGCCGTTTGACACATTGTGACTATACCCGCTCTTGAAAGAACTACCCAGCCCTATCTCTATTGCCCTCTAACTTCATCCCTTTCGAATATATATCCCAGCTCTCTTTTGAAGCCTCCTATGGAATCTGCCACCCCCAACTCTCCAAGGAATTGCATTCCAAATCCCAACAACTCTCCAGGTAACAAATTTTCTCCTCATCTCACTCCTAGCTCTCTTGCCTGCAGTCTTGAAATTGTGACCCCCTAGTTACTGACGAACCAACAAGTAGAAACAGAATGTCCTTCCTTCCCCTGTCAAGTTTATTTATAATTTTTGAACACCTCAATAAGCTCACCTCTGAATCTCCCTTGCTCCAAGGAGAATAAGCCCAATCTCTCCAACCTTTCCTTGTATCTATGATCCCTCACTCCTGCTATCAGTTGAATAAATCTCCTTTGCAGTCTCTCCAGGGATTTCACATGCTTCTTTAAGTAAGTTGCCCAGAACTGAACATAATACTCCAAATGATCTCTGGCCAATGATTTGTAGAGATGTAGCATCACTTTCTTGTTTTCATACTCTATGCCTCTATTTATAAGACGAATGATCCTGTAAGTTTTCTCAACAACTGTTTCAGCTTGGCTGGCCATCTTCAGAGAAACATGTATGTGAACCCTGAGGTCCCGCTGCTCTTGTACTAGCTGTGCCATTGAGCCTGTATTTTCTCTACATGTTTTTTCTACCAAAATGCATTGCCCCACATTTCTCTGCTTTGAGATTCATCTGCCCATTTGGCCAACGTGTCAATGTCCCTCTGAAGTTGTTCAGCATCATCCTCACAATTCACTATCCTCCCTAGCTGAGTATCACCTGCAAATATAGAGATTTTGCCTGCTACACCCATTTCCAAATCATTTCTATGCATCAGAAAATGCAAGGGTCCCAACATCGATCCCTGGGGAGCACCACTTTTGACTCATCTCCAGTCTGAGAAATGCCCATCCATACCTCCTCTCTGCTTCCTGTTTTTAGCCAACATCTAACCCATCATTCCCAAACATTTCTGGCTTGGGGCAATGTATCAAATGCTTTCTGAAGGTTCAAATACACAACATCTACAGCACGACCTTCATCCACTATCTGTGTCACCTTTTTAAATGTGACGAGAGTTTCTGTCTCCCAACCTCATAAGCAGTGATTTCCTTATCCCCACTACTCTCTGGGTGAAAACATTCTTCCTCATATCCCCTCTAAATCTCCTGCTCCTTCCCTTAAATCTAAAAAAGAGGGACTTGAGAGTTCTCTTAACCTTCACATTGAGGTTCAGTTGGCAGTTAGGAAGGCAAATGCAATGTTAGCATTCCTTTCGGAGGGCTAGAATACAAAAGCCTGAGGCTCTGATCAGACCGTGAGCAGTTTTGGGCCCCGTATCTAAGGACGGATGACGAACAAAGAGACCTTGGGGTGCAGGTGCATAGTTCCTTGAAAGTGGAGTCACAGGTAGACAGGATAGTGAAGGATGCATTTGGTACGGTTGCCTTTATTGGTCAATGCATTGAGTATAGGAGTTGGAAGGTCATGTTGTGGCTATACAGGACATTGATTAGGCCACTTTTGGAATACTGTGTTCAATTCTGGTCTCCCTGCTATTGCTATGGGAAAGATGTTGTTAAACTTGAAAGAGTTCAGAAAAGATTTACAAGGATGTTGCTGGGGTTGGAGGGTTTGAGCTATAGGGAGAGGCTGAATAGGCTGGGGCTATTTTCCCTGGAGCGTCGAAGGCTGAGGGGTCACCTTAAGAGGTTTATAACATCATGAGGGGCATGGATAGGGTGAATAGCCGAGGTCTTTTCCCCAGGGTCGGGGAAATCCAAAACTAGAGGGGCATGGGTTTAAGGTGAGAGGAGGAAAGATTTAAAAAGGGGCCTGAGGGGCAACTTTTTCATGCAGAGAGTGGTGTGTGTATGGAACGAGCTGCCAGAGGAAGTGGTGGAGGCTGGTACAATGACAACATTTAAAAGGCATCTGGATGGGTACATGAATAGGAAGGGTTTAGAGAGATATGGGCCAAATGCTGGCAAATGGGACTAGATTAATTCTGGATATCTGGTCGGCTTAGACAAGATGGACTGAAGGGTCTGTTTCCATCTCGTACATCTCTATATCTCCATGACTTAATGCACTGGCCTTGGAGGGGGATCCAGAGGAGATTTACAAGAATGATCCCGGGGATGAAGGGCTTGTCATATGAGGAGCGGTTGAGGACTCTGGGTCTCTGCTCAATGGAGTTTAGAAGGCATGACCAACCCTCCCTCTCATCCCTGCCTCCTTGACCTGTCTGTCTTCTCTCCCACCTATCCGCTGCTCCCACCTCACTGAACCCGCTGCCACTCCCTACCTGCACTCACCTATCACCACCCCACCTACCTTCCCCAGCCCCAACCCTCCTCTCTCTATTTATTTCGGAGCTCCCTTCCCCGTCCCCCATTTCTGAAGAAGGGTCCCGACCCGAAACGTCAGCTTTCCTGCTCCTCTGATGCTGCTTGGCCTGCTGTGTTCATCCAGCTCTACACTGTGTTATCTCTGACTCCAGCATCGGCAGTTCTTACTATATCAAAGAACCAACTTTCTTTGTTTCATACCCAGGAACCTTGACATCTAAATCAAGCCATAACAGCTGGTAATATAAAGTAAAAAACTGCGGATGCTGGAAATCTGAAACAAAAACAGAAAATGCTGGAGAAACTCAGCAGGTCCGTGGAGAGAGAAACAGTTAATATTTCAATTCCCTTCAGGAGGACATGAAATGTTGACTGTTTTTCCCTCTTAGCAGATGCTGCCTGACCCGCTGAGTCAGAACATAGAACAGTACAGCACAGTACAGGCCCTTCGGCCCACGATGTCGCGCCGAACTTTTACCCTAAACCTAAGGTCTATCTAACCTCCACCCCTACCTTATACTATCATCCATATGCCTATCTAATAGCCGTTTAAATGCCCCTAATGAGGCCGACTCCACTACCCTCTCCGGCAATGCATTCCACACCCCTACCACTCTCTGAGTAAAGAACCTACCTCTGACGTCTCCCCGATATCTACCTCCTTTCCCTTTAAAACTATGTCCCCTCGTAAAAGCTACCTCCACCCTAGGAAAAAGTCTCTGGCTGTCCACTCTATCTATACCTCTGATCATTTTGTACACCTCTATCAAGTCACCTCTCAACCTTCGACATTCTAAAGGGAAAAGCCCAAGCTCTCTCAACCTTTCCAATATTGTAGGGATTGGATACAAAATAGTAAGTGTCTTTCCAGTACAGAGCTTGTTAACTTGGGGCTAAAACCCTTACTCAGAAATGCAATCACAAACATGATGTGACCATCAGAGTCTTACACCGACCGGAGATAAACCGAATATAATCACATATTGATTGTTCGATTAGGATAAAACTGTCACCAGCTGGTGGATAGTAAACTGTTATACAAAGAGCAGGCTCATTGTTTCCCTGAAACAGTGGAAAATGGAGTGGTGAGCTGACCGAAATATCTTTTTCTTATTTATTCACGGGATGAGGGCATCGCTGGCGAGGCAGCATTTATTGCCCATCCCTAATTGGCCAGATTCATTGCTGTGGGTCACATCTAGGCCCAGACCGGGTAAGGATGGCAGTTGCCTTCCCTAAAGGGCACTAGTGAACCAGATGGGTTTTTTCCCCTCAACAATCAATTCACAGTCATCATTAGACTTTAAATTCCTGATTTCTTTTTACATTGGATTCAAATTCCACCATTCCTGCCATGGCGGGATTTGAACCCAGGGTCCCGGGCCTCTGGATTAACAGTCCCGCCACAATACCGCTGGGCCAGGTTTCAACAGGCTGCATGCAGAGGGAATTTCCTCATTGAAGGATGGCCCTGAAATGAGGGGAGCCCATGAACTGGATTAGCTTTATTGTCACATATATTGACAAGGGTACAGTGAAAGGTTTACAAGTCACCACATTACGGCCCCATCTTAGGTACAAAGGTACCCAGGTAGAGATTCTTTGGTACAAGTTCTCCCAGGAGAAAATACACGAATAAAACTTCCAGCGTTGCAGATTGTAGGAATAAATTAGAAAGGAATAAATTAGAAATTAGAATAAAGTTCAGGACGAAGGTCATTCCAAACCCGGTCCAAGCAAGCACCTAGCCTCCAGCCTGCACCAGGCTTCGCCCCAAGGCTGGGAGACCAGATGTCTGCGCTGAGGCCACGCCCAACCAGGAGTCCCCACTCCGGGCCGCTGGGAGAGCACCAATGGGCCGCTGGGAGAGCGCCACACTGGGCCGCTGGGAGAGCGCCACAATGGGCCTCTGGTAGACCACAATGGGCGGCTGGGAG